GAAAGGAAAGGAGGGAGGGAGAGAGGGAGGAAGGGAGGAAAGGAAGGATGGATGGAAGGAAGGAAAGGAAAGGAGGGAGGGAGAGAGGGAGGAAGGGAGGAAAGGAAGGATGGATGGAAGGAAGGAAAGGAAAGGAGGGAGGGAGAAATTAGCCTGTTTTAGAAGGGGAGAACTTGACAATCACCGTCATGGGCAACGTTTGTCAATCGTCGCAATTTTTTAGATGGGTGGATTTCAACACCCAGAATTCCCCAGCCAGCATAGCTGATTGAGAAATTCTGGGAGTTGAAGTCCACCCATCTCAAAAGTTGACCAGATTTAAAAAATAAAAATTTAGTTGACGATAGGAAGAGAGAGAGAGAGAGAGAAAAAAAGAGAGGTCCCTTTTGGGGGGGTTCACTTTATTGAATACACCGAAAGAGAAGGAAGAACGAGAGGGCCACCCACATCCAAACAGGACCCAGGAGACACTGTGGGACCCACAACCCCCCCCCCCTCCCTTTCACGCTCCCACTTCCCCAAAAAGGCTGTCGGCATCCGTTCTCCAACCAGATTCCGGCAGGCACGCCGGGAAACAGAAAAAAAAAACCAAAAAAAAAAGGCAAAACAAAACAACCAGTCTCGGTTTGGTACTTCGTTCCTTCCGTAAAAGTCCATGGATCAGCACAGGGGGGCGGGGGGAAAGAAAAGAAATGAAAAAGAAAAGAGAAAAGAAAAAAACCCGAATATACGGGCAACGCAACCCCTACAGGCCAATCCGGAGTGCCGGGGAAAACCAGCGGTGATTGCTTGGTGGCCACCTTTTCACGGTGAATGCCGCAAAGAGAGAGAGAGAGAGAGGGAGGGAGGCGATGTGGACCGGCGGGCGGGAGGGTGGATCCATTATACGAACCGCTGGACGATGACGGCGTTGAGGAGGTTGGCGTCCTTCAGAGTCTGGTCCTCGTCCGAGAGCTCCTTGTTGGGGAAAGTGGTCATGAGGACGAAGCCCGTGGCGGCCATAGCCGGCCGGGCGTCCACAATGAACAGCCGAATGTCACGGATCCTGTCCGGGGGGGGGGAAAACACTTGGGTTGGTTTTTTTTTTTCAAAATGTTTATTACTCCTCCACTTTTATTCGGTTTCCAAATAAGGCGGCGAACGGGGCTAATAGGCCTTCCCCTTATTTCCATCCCGCCCCACAACAACAACCCTGTGAGGAAGGTTGGGTGAGAGGATGCAGCTGCTTCAAAGTCACCCGGCTGAACTTTGTGTCTAAGGCGGGACTAGAACTCACCGTCTCCTGGTGATTGGCCCAAAGTCACCCAGCCAGCTTTTGTGCCTAAGGCAGGACTAGAACTCCCAGTCACCTGGTGATTGGCCCAAAGTCACCCAGTTGGCTTTCATGCCTAAGGCGGGACTAGAACTCACCGACTCCTGGTGATTGGCCCA